CTTTACTTTTTTCATTTCGATTTTCCCAAAAGCAAATTACTGCTATATTATTGTCAGGGGGAAACTTCATAAGGCCAATGAATGGCGCATTTCAAACCTTTATAACTGTTTTTTTTTATTACAGTAAATATAAACATAGAAATAATTATATATAAATCTAGCTGACGTGGCAAACGTTGTTTTGCCATATAAATTATTTTTAAGAAATTTGTTGGGTTGAAAATAATAGGGGTGGACCACCCTTATCACTTAGGGGTATGAAAATTAGATTACGACCGATTCTCAGACCTACCAAATATACATATAAAATTTAATAAAAATAGATCAAGCCATTTCCGTATGGCAACTAACATTGTGCATTGTAAAGATATATGACTAGCTAAAAATCTAACACATGTAGTGGTTTTAAGTGCAAAATAAAACATTACATTACGAGTTAGGAACGAAATGAGTTCCTTTCATTTTTATTTCGCGACCTATTACGCTTTTTATATTTTTCGTTCTTTTTATATTTTTCTAAATTTGAAATTTTTAAAGAGGCTACTATACAAAATGTACAAACTATGATTTTACTTTTTTCCTTTTTTTTAAAAATTTATCGCAGAAATCTAATGGTGGAATTATTATCGTCAGTATTGCAGTACCTATTTTATAGTCTGTCTGTTTTACTTCCCTAGTTTTTATAACTTATACTAGGTAATGCTTAATACTTCAATCACGGTTATAACTTTCTAATTGTATTTACGCAAACAATATACGGAGATTGTTACTGAGAATTACAAATATAAACCACAAGATATGATTGGAATCTTTTTACGGCATGAACGGAAAATACTTATGATATTTATTATTTATAAAATAAAATAAAACAAAATTTCGATTACGTTACTTTATTTTTCTTTGAACTACCATAATTTCTTTTAGTTAAAATAGGCACGAAAATTAGTACTTATAGTAGTCTATTAATTGTAATATTTTATACTCCAAATGAAAGGAATTTATTCCTTTATAATTTACTAGCTTATCGCCCGCGACCATCGCTCGCGTTGACGGCCTCAAATAAATATCTTTATTTATAAAAAAAATCCTTTAAAAGTAGTCCTTTCTCAGGCTCTAGACTATCTGTGTACCAAGTTTCATTTAAATCAATTCAGTAGTTTTTGCGTGAAAGCCAGACAGACAGAAAGAGTTACTTTCGAATTTATAATATTAGTATGGATAGTATAACATTCTTTCCAGACTTGAGTACGTGTAAATAATAGGCACTAAAATATACATAAGATTTAAAATTAGTACTTATAGTATTCTATTAATTGTAATATTTTATACTCCAAATGAAAGGAATTTATTCCTTTATAATTTACTAGCTTATCGCCCGCGACTTCGCTCGCGTTGACGGCCTCAAATAAATATCTTTATTTATAAAAAAAATCCTATTAAAAATAGCCTATGTCCTTTCTCAGGCTCTAGACTATCTGTGTACCAAGTTTCATTTAAATCAATTCAGTAGTTTTGGCGTGAAAGCCAGACAGACAGACAGAGTTACTTTCGCATTTATAATATTAGTATGGATAGTATAACATTCTTTCCAGACTTGAGTACGTGTAAAAATAACATTCAACATTATATTTGACGCAAAACATAAAAAAAAACATTGAGACGTATTCATACTATCCGTTTCTGCTGTTTTACTATTCCAGGTTCACATGAACGTTATACCTACTCATTAATATGTAAATGAGGGCAATTTGCATATATATATGTTTCGAACTTTTAACTTTCGTGGCATTTATTCAAATAAATTATCATTAACGAAAACAATCCACCCCCATGTATTGCACCCTCTAATGCCATTAAGTGTATCTTCGAGTATTTTTCACTCCCAAAAATTGACACGGTCCTTATGGCGTGGTGAATAGAGATTGCAATCGTCCAAAAGCTCAGTCCGTCCGCGTGTCTGTAATGATCGTTTCGTAATGCGGTAAATTCAGTACAATTTGCTACGAGCGGGCTTCGTGTTGTATCGTATGCGGGTGGGGTGCTCACGTTTTATTGTTTTTGTGTACCGCGCCCGCCACCCGATCGTTTTAGATGGCGGAGGGTGCGTTTTTTTTTTAAAAAGCACAATTTATTTATTTTTAGCTCGTGCACGTAGCATTTTGCGCTGTGACCGGACACAACTCTGTTGGGCAGTCAGTACAGTTGCGTCTAGCTAGACATTTTAATTATAAATTGCATATGAACGGAAAGCGGAATCGACTAATGTTTTTGTGTAAAAAGAGATTAAATTTTACATAAGAGAATCTCTGTTATCTGCTACAAGGTTTCTGATTTTATTTTTACAGTATCCTTGAGTTTACTGGGCAAAAAAAAACAGTTTTAATCAAAACACTACTTCCATTTCTCCTGTGGCAGGGCAACGAAGCAGTCTTCACTGATGCACGAATGGGGAGGTCCGTCCGGGGAAGTACCTCCCAGAAGTCGGAGTGAAAAGTAAGTGTTCTACTTCTGCGTTTCGACTGGTGATTGAGGTAAGCGATGCCTGCTTTATTGAAAGATGGCAACGCTTTCGTATCCCTACGGTCTAAACATCATAGGAACAACCAGCTCGCTTATCATCTCCTTAAATTAAAAAAAAACATAGTCAAACTTTGGCATCATATTTCCACTACTTCATGTGATTATTTAACTAGAGCCCATGAGTTTAAATATTTATCCCAATAAAATAAGTATGCCTTCACAAAGAAAAGAAGTAACATTGATTTAAATTGTACTTCAACAGACTATTTTTTACCATTCCCACACTGTTATTATTATTATGTAGTATGCCGCCAAAGTCAAATACCGACTTATGCTCGATTACTAATGGAATTTTATCAACCTTCTTCTGGAGATGAATATTTCGTACCTGATATTTGGTGCGTAAGCTTTGTAAGTTTCAATTTTAAACGGAGAATATAAAACTTACGTTTTCGGATTTGTACAGAGCCAGTAAAAGAAACCTGAATACAAATAAAAAAAAAATATTTGGTCATCTGCAGATCAAGGGTACCACTTCCAAAACTGGATAGGTAAAAAGTAAAAGTAACAGCCTATACATGTTCCACTACTGGGCAATGGTCTCCTCTGTACAAGGGTATTAGTTTATTTAGGCATAGTCCACCACGCAGCCCCACTGCGGATTGGCGGACTTTACATATCTTAAAAAAAATTTCTTATTTTTAAGATTTAAAAATATTTGTAAGTTACAGTTCTATGCAGTGTTTGGAAAAATTATGAGAGTAAATTATTATTTTTTTAAAAGCGCGTAAACCTACACTTACATGAAGAAGTTGGTTGTAAAGCGACTAACTTCATGGTATCATCATGGCAATACCAACTTTTTGACATATACCTATAATTCCAAGTTATATCATCAGCATTTGATATATTTTTCGTAAACAAAGAGTACTTATACTAGGGATAAATTTTTTTGTTATTTTTCTTTGGCCACACTAAAGAAGTAACTTCACGATGTTTTCTTTACCCCTTGAGCACGCACATATTAAAACTTTAAGTCCCAATCTTTGACGAACTTCAATTTGACTCGTATAATATTCACATCGATAATTGCGCCTGCTTTTTTGCGCCTTCTTTATCACTTCATATTCAACGATTCAATTTTTTCACCCCCATGTTGAATGTTTCCGTTATTAATAACAACAATGTATATTCATAGATAAAGCACTTACGCGGGATCCCTCGCTATTAATGAACTGGATTCCGGGGGATCCGTGGGTATTTAGGGTTCTATGCACTTGTTGTTGCCCCGTTTAAAAGTTCGGCAGAAACATTTACATCGTTTATATTAATAATTGGAAATGGTATGGGGCGAGTTCACGGGCCGATGCTCTTACGACCCACGCTCCGATACACACCACCGTGTGTTTTAAAGGGAAATATAAATTATACTATATTATATAGTTTATGGTACAAATTGTTTTACTTAAAGCTTATGTGTAAATAGGGCAAAGATTCTTATAGCTTTTGCACGAAACTAGAGTGCTAATTAAAGAGAAGATAATGATTAATTAAAATAACACTGATTTGGTTCAACTAAATGATCAACTATTGTAGGGCCCACGACCTCACAGAAGACCAGCGTGAAGTGGAAGTGTTATACTTCTGCGTATCGTCTGGTGAGTGAGGTAGGTGAGGACCATTTTATTAATAGGTGGCGACGCATCTGCAACCCTACGGATGTTACAAATGTCGATGGGTGGCGGTTTTGACTTAAGATTAGGTGAACCGCCAGCTCACTAGCCACCTTCTCAAATAAAAAAAATAAATAAGATAAAATATTCTCCGCCGCCAATAAATTAATTATTAATTAACAATCCCTCACTCTATTTATTAAAAAAATACAAAACAAAAAAATGTTTCTTCCTATTTATAAGAAGCCACAGTATTATATACATAAATAAATCTAATATATAAAATTCTCGTGTCACGGTGTTTGTAATTGAACTCCTCCGAAACGGCTCGATCGATTTTCGTGAAATTTTGTATGCATATCGGCCAGGGTGGAGAATCGGACAACATCTATTCTTCATCCCCCTAAATGTTAAGGGTGGTCCACCCCAAACATTTTTTTCTACCCTACAAATAATTTATATGGCAAAAAAACGTTTGCCGGGTCAGCTAGTAACATTATAAAGGCTTTCTGCTCTCAAGCACGGGTGGAATTGAAGTACAAAGTTCGTTTTCTTAGTAAAAATCTTCTCATCCAGAAAACTGTAAGATCTAAAAGTTAAATCTAAAAGTATTTGTTATTTTTGTATCATCAAATCAGTTTGTGTTATTTAATGAAACAAGTTATCACAAGCTTACACAGTTCAAGGAAACGTGTGATAGCTCCAAGTTTTTTCACGTCCTTATTAAAAATAATCAAACCTAATGTCCAGTCGGGTACCTGCGGTGCCCTCTTGAGTTAGAAGGCATTTCAAAACAAAGAAATACAAATGGAGTCCTTGCCCTGGGAGTCCTCGCTGAGAGCACAAAGGGCTGTGATTGCGACTGACGCGGGTAGGGAGGGGTGGGCAGGGTATGGGAGAGGGGGAGGTGAACGACCTCCGGCCGGGGTGGCCGCCCCCTGCGTGCGCGCACGCTTGGTCGACGGTCTGTAACATGAAGACGTGTACGTATTTATAAAACTGCCTATAACGCGATGCGAAGGTAAATCGTGGGTATTTTTTTTTGGCGGGCTGAAAAACGGATCGAGGTCCCGGGTCGTTTTTACGATTCGGGTTTTTTTCGTAGTAGCACAACGAGCCCCGGTGAGTTGTGCACGCGAGACTGAGGGATCGCAAGACTGTGACAATTCTAACCGGTGTTAAATACTTAAAAGGATTTTTTTTAATGTGGGAACGTTTAGAAGAATAAGGGAGCTTTGTTTAAAAGATAAGGATTTAAAGTTTTAATTTATGTTTCGATTTAAAGTTTATTTCAATTACTTACTTCGTTTAAACTATACTAAAATAACAGCATATATATGTCCAACTGCCGCGCATAGTCCTACACGCGACCCCACTGCGGATATGTATATATTTTTTTTTGTTATAATTTCGAAAATATGTAGATTTCCTCCCATATTTTCCCTTGCTGTTGACCCGTGATAAGTCAGCGCTTAAAATTAACAACTTCATTGGTGCCGGCACCGGGAATTGAACTCAGGATGCTCGAGTATATTGAATTAAGAACGCCTAGACAATGAGCCACCACTACTAGTTCGCTTGCATTTAAGAATATGAGAACATTTATAAGAGAATAATTAAAAGAAATTTGCGTATGTAATCGCATTCATATTAACATTCCCGATGTTTCGATTTTGCAGCGTCTCTGACTACGAGATAGATCGAGTTAATTTACATCCTAATATTATGTTACGTGTGTTAACGTTGAGCTTACACTTATTAACTGTAATGTTGTATTTTTTATTTTTCTGTTTAATAAAAAAAATCTAATAAGAAGGTCTAGCAGTGTTGGTGCGTACGGATTCACTTTCATGTTACATTGGCTTCGGCGTCGGGGGTCGCAGGTTCGATTCCCACACGGGACAACTATTTGTGCGACCCACAGATAGTTGTTTCGCATGTTTCTGGGTGTTTGTCCTCGTGCAATTTATGTTTGTAAAACGTCCTTACAACACAGGATAATGTTATCCTAAAGTGAGGGCAATGGTTTTTAAATCAAATAAAATAAATAAATTATTTTAAAATGCTATGTATTACAAAATACAAATTACTTTATTTCCTAAATATTTCTACATTAAATGCCATAAGATCTGACCTCCACATAAGGTTTTTGCCTGTCCTATGGGGGATAAATATTATTAATATTATTTATATATACCTGGAGGACCGAGCTTTGCTCGGTTTTTTTAGTAAATCGTGTATTTTGGAAATAAAAAATGAAAAATAAAGAAAATGATCTAGCATAGAAAAAAAAGAAGTGTGTAAATGATCGTGATACGAACCGCGGCAGTCTATTTTGGGGCCGTCCGATTACCGACATATTCGAATGATATTTTTCATTCCCTGAAAACAGGGATAAAAGGACATTTTCTAAAAATGAAACCTAGTTAGATCGATTTTTCGCGCCCGAATCTACGCACATACTAAATTTCATGAAAATCGCTGGAGCCGTTTCCGAGATTCCGATTAAATATATATATTATACACAATAAATGAACACATATATAGGGGATAACTTTTTAAAGTTTTATTAAACATTTAAATTCTTGCAACATCAATATTTACACAGTTATTAAATTTTGGAAAACAAAGAATTTTAGAACACCATTACCTATAAAAGCGTAACGTAAAGTTCATTTGTAAAGGCCACAAAGCATATGAATGGGTTGAATGAAATTAAAAGAGACAAAACATACTGTTAGAAGGAGAGGCTTGTAATACGACGCTGTGGTGCGAGTTGTATAGGATGTTACAAATTTTCTTTCTTTTTTACTTAATTAGTTTGTTGGAAAAAAAAATTATTATGGATTTTGTTTAACGTTAATATTTTTTTATGATTATTGGCAAGTAGCGTTAGACGTGTGTTCATTTATTGTCGCGATGGTAACGACACGCTGTATATACAAGAATTGCTCGTTTAAAGGATAAGATTATAAATATAGGATAAGATTATATATAAATATTGTTATTTACTTTAAATACTGTTTAATTATTACGTATAAGTTTAACATTTAGTAATAATGTTTTTCGCAACTTATACACTACAGAAACTGTTATCTACATTTGAATATATAACAACGTAGTTTCAGTATACTGTATTGTATCCGTTTAAACACAATATAATTGGACTTAAAAAAAGTTCCAATTACGAACGCACTCGTTCAATCCATTCATTCCCCTCGTCAGACCAACCCTATTCATAAAATTTACAACATTAACACTGATGACAGACAATCGTTGATATAAGGTAAGGGTAACTGCTTCAATGCCCTTCGAAATAAAATTCTACAAGGCTGGAAAGACCAAACTTTTCAATAAGATGAAAAAGTTGCTATATTCGTTACTTTACGCTGAGAATGTTCTAAAATAACTAAGTTAAGGACACTAACTGTTTGTTTTCAATCGATTTTTTTATGTGTTAGAACTCAGCCATTTGTGAACTAATTTTAATAATTATTTTTGCATTGTGTGCGGTCTAACTCTCATGTGGTTCCATATTAATTTCATTGTTATTGGACCTTGGACTCCGGAGATATATTAGGGATGTCCCCAAAACCATAGAGAAAGAGATATCTAAAGACAATATTGTTTTTTGCTAAAAAAATGTAGTGTTAGAATAATTTCGTCCGAATCGCGTGCTGCAGAGTCCACTCAAAGAGCGGTTCATGGTCGCCCGTCATGCATGCCAGCATTCTATCATTATAGCGCACTGTCGCTACTCGTTGCAGTGATTTTTGAATCGGCGTCGGTGGCGCGACCCCCACCTGTTATTTGCCCCCTCCGGAAACGGGGAATTTGCATCACAATCAAATAGTACCCTCGCCGGCTCGCTTCCTGCCACGGCCCGCGCCCTCGGAATCATCGCAGCGACCCCGATTGTGATCTGCCATAAACGCTGGCATCCGCCACATTTCCACGCCAATAGAAAAATACGAATCGGGAAATTTGCCCGTTAGAAACATTCAAATCGAGCGCTCGCTTATTCCTGTTAGTAGGCGTAGATTAGTAGGAATTTCGCGCACGGCCAACTCCATCAACTCGTGTTAGGAATATGCTTCTTGAAACATCTGCAGTTGAATATTGAGCTCCTTTGTTATAACTTCTCATGCTTATCGTTGACAAAACTATCTGCCCCACTGTTAAGTGTGGCTTGACGCTTTAGTATCTGAATTAGCAAGATGTTTAATACGTTTTATCTTTGTTATAATTTTTTTTCTCAAGTAAATTACCACTTTTAATATGATATTATCGCGTTACGTCTTGTCATCTTGTCTATTTGAAAATCAAAATCTACATGGATGAGATATACAAATCAAAATACATATTCCATACATTAGATGGAATTTAGTTTATTCAATCGAACAAAATTCGCACAATGATCTTATGTAATTTGTCCTTCGTTATAAAATTTATAGCTATTTAAGTTTTAAACAGGAAAATGTCCCACGGTAGTGAAATTAGACATATTCCAGAATTGAGACGTTTGCGTCATTCGTTATAGTATTGAATATTACAATGTAGGCAAAGGCAAGATTCACGTGCGGCAATCTGTCTTCCAATGACAATAATGACTATGTACGATCGCTCGGTACAGCGCGGCTTAGCGGAGTGGAGAGGGCTTATCGTGCTAGCACCGGAGACCCTGCCATGACCTTCCGATTATTGTAGGACGCGGTCGCCCCTAGTCCTGCGACCATCGCCTCAGCGCGCTCTGCTAGTTGTTTATTTGACAAATCATTTTGAAATTGGAACTACTATTTGTGGTTGTTTTTTATAAATCAATTGGGTTGAAACAAAAACTTTAAATACAAATCGTATCTATTAATTAATTTTTTTATTATAATTTTAATAATCATCGAACTAGATTGGAACAACGAAAGCAAAATCATTCACATAAATATAATAATTACAGTGTTGACTTAATTACGTTACCTAGGTATTTTTATTGTTTTATTGAATTTTCAACCAAAAGTATTTTGTAATGATTCCCGCGACTGAATGTTGACCACCATCTTTTTGTTAGTAATAAGATATTATATACTATCTCATTTTATAATACTTTCCGATTATCATTTCAAGTCTCTGGAGTAAACATGAGTCAGATTTTTTATAGCACCATATTCACCGTTAGATTTCTTCCTCAAAATCAAACACTTATCATTGATGACATATTAGTTGTAATGTTATAGCGAGTCTTTTGATCTTAGAATTGATATAAACCATTAACTACGTGATGATAGATTTGATAGGACGGTGACAAAATATTCACAATATCATATAAGGACTATCCAAGGGAACTATAGCGCCGTCTGGGTGTATGAATTTTCTCAACGCGTGACGTATGCATCTTACGTGTGTGTGTCAATGATTGTCTGTGTAGATTTTCCCGCGTCGAGCGTAGGGGGCGAGCGGGGAGGCGAGGGCGGCGGCGGGGACGGGGAGCGCTGCTCAAGGCGCAGAGGGCGCGGCGGCCTGCGCCGGCTCACTGATCACCCGACGGGGCCTCTCGATCTACGCCCGCGCAGCCGCCGTCGCCCGTAACAACGCTCACACTAGAGGGCAACTCTCGGGGAGGGGATCGTCTTTATCACGCCTAAGCCAATGTCGAAATCTCAATAAAAAATCGCACGCGCCGACCGCGTCCACCCGATGCAGCGTTCTCTCGGCCGAATCTGTTGGAGCCCTTTCACTAATTAAACATTCCCATTCCGACGATATGAATGACGCTATGACGCCCGCGAAGTAGGAAAGGTAACGGTGCAGAGAGTGATGAACGCGCCTCTCGGATGCACACGTGTGGGAAGCGTTTGCGCAAGGCTACTCCCAAGACGCGCCGTGGACGATGGGCCGCCAAGTACCGTGGAGAAGAGAAAGGCGAAATATAAGCAAGTCATGCGACAGGGCCGAAAATCTCGTCTGTTTCCGCTTTATGCCGAATCAGTTCCGAATAAATAATGCAATCACCAACTAAAATCACTACACGTTTCCCTCTATACTTCATAGCAACCTTGTTGAAGAGTTGATATGAAAATTTATATTGCTTCAATATTTCATCCGATTGACAGACAAGAATACAACTATTGTACTTATTATTTTAATTGTATAAGATCATGTTACTGATTTGTATTTATTAAAATCACATGTTACTTAATATTATTAAAGATTTTTCAATATTTCATTAATACCACAGGCGTTTAAACATTCATACATGAGTACGATGTTTTCATAGGAGCTCTTATGCAAAAAATGGGGGGGTGATTGAAGCACTTTTAGAGTGAAGGTCACGATTATCATACAATGGTGCCGTGGCAGCGCGGAAATGTGACGTCGTTGACAAAAATTGTTATGTAATTACTTATTCTTTATAACATGTTATCATAATAAGTCTCGAACATAGAGTAATTAGGATGACGATATATTAAGTTTTCATATAAAGCGCTATCCCTCAAAATAAATATACCTAACACTATAAAAAATCATAAGAAGTGAAAAAATAATTATAATGCTGGTTTTGAGTTTGTTTTTGACCAGCGAAAGTTTACTTTTTATTACAAAATCGGTTTTTACACATACCTCGTATAGTTAAAAACTGATTGTCGATTCGACGTGGCCTCGCATTTGCATTAACGTTAGCCTCTTCCGGGCGTATACATGGACATTTTATCCCAAAATCTAAATTATAAAAATCACTGACACGCGTGTCGCGGCGAGTCGTTGACCCCACGTGGAACCACCCTAATTTCGTGTACGTCGTCTCTCTCTAGCGCCGTACAGATTAGTATAACCGCCCCGCTCGCTCTGTCCATTCTCACGTGCGCGGGCGCCGCACTACGCCGCGCGTCGCCTATCGAAAACTTCTATCGCTCTCTACGAAAAAACAAAATTTTATATTTAATTAATAATAATCATCGAAAAACTACATATAAATGAATGCGGCTATAATTTGAGTAAAATAAGATCTAAAACTTATAATACGATAAATTCGAAAATATAACTAAATATTAAACTATTTTTTCAGAGGTGTACGAAAAAATTTAAACATTTGACAACAACAATATGTCGAATTTTAAAACCAAGCGAATGTCATAGATTTCACGCAATAAATGATGCAACTTTTTTCGGAGTCTGTTGGTAAATTTTTTTATGACCAACATTTTCCGTATTCATCGTCTCAGATCGCAGTTTTCAAAATACAGAACGTTATTGATGACCTGCATAATACGATTTACTTATTTTACCTTTCTTACATCTATTTAATTCACTATTCTGTACGTCCATTGACGTAGTCGTACTGCAACGTAAGAAGAGGCGTAGACATTCGGAATTCGTTTGTCTGTTATTTTTTTTTTCGGTTTTTGTGGCTCGACTTATTTATTAGTTACCGCTAGTTTGAAATAAAACATACATGCTCAAATTTCCTGTTTAGGTACTTTAACGCTAAAAGATAATATGCTATAAAAAGGTTTACTCTAACATTAAGATTAACGTTTATGTTATATTGAATACAAAATATTTGAGTATATTGATATACTTATAATATTTTATAATATAAAAGGCTTCAATCTATTTAGAGACTCGAAATTTTACCACTATGAACACCTAGAACTCTGTGTTTTGTCGCTTACAAATAACTTATTTAGATTATTTTGACTCTAGATTTAAAGATCTTAAAAATTATTAACTTATTTTTTACGATAACTTAAGAGTGAAACAGAATTTTCGTATATAAAAAGTGTGTGCAGATGATTTATTTCAAGATAAATTGTTCCTTTCACTATAAAAGAACGTTTTGTAATGAAAGTAATACTTTTAAAATCACTTTACGGTTTAAACTAGTGCTGATTAGAGATTCATGTACAATTATAGTTTAGTCTCGTCAGTTTGCATCTCGCTGCGTGTTCGAGTAAGCACGGATTTGCTATGTACAAAGGTAGTTAGATGTATTAACGTAAAGTAGGTAGGCGCGCATCAAGGTCTCGTTGCGATGGTGTAGATTATCTATAGCTACGTTTTGTTTGTATCATAGACTGCATAGGGTATAGTTATTGTGCCTACACGTCGCCCGTGATTTGTCCCTTTGATGAGCGTGCCGAATCATAAAACGCAACTGTAAAACGACACTAAAAGCGCGTCGGAGTCACACAACTTGCATCGACGACTTGATATATTATCGTGAACGTAGCCTTGCTGCAGCTGTATACGTAACGTGTGAAAGTCATAGGAGATTCAGGTGAAGATGGCGTCTATTACACACGAAAAGAAGATTGCACGCGGCGTAATTATATCGTGTTTTCTTAATTGCCTGTATCCAGTACATCAGCTGTTACTGTTAGGGTAAATATTAGAGGATGCAGAGTCAATATTGCTTCAGTGTTGTATACCTTAGCGGTAAGTGGGAGCTGTCAGCAGCATCATTCCAAGCCGCTGGCCTTGCCGCGTGGGAGCCATCTTAGAAATCGGCCCTGCGCTTACGCAATCCCAACCACTCGAACGTGCTCTACGAGCCTTCGAGATTTTTCTAACACTCACCGACAAAAATGTGTCATCCACTTAGGAGCTCTAAGATTTCAAACAACAAATTGGAACTCGTCGGATGAATACTAAAACCTTCCAATAGCCTAAATTGTAATATATGCAAAGATAACAGCCTCTTTTTATTGGAAATTATTACAAATAAGTAATTATATTTTTGTTTTATTTCAACTATCACCTCGTTTTTTGAACGAACGATGAAACTATTGCCCGTAACAAGTTACACATGAAACTTCCGCAAGATGCTAATTAAGATATACAATGTAGAGCACTGGCAGAAGCGACCCGAGTTCTATTATTAAACGATTTAAATACACAGCACATCGTTGGAACTATACCGAAATTTTGAATAAATTTTAAGAATAGGTATTAAATACCCAATTATACAATTTTTGTAATTTTTATTGCAAAAAACAACTATATTAGGTGAAGAGAAGTAGCGTGTAGGCGTCTCGTATTTTGAAGCCTGTACAATTTTTATAATACAAAATAGTGACATTCAGTCTCTATTTAATGTTATATTTAACGATTATTAGATAAGTACTATAGATATAAGTCAAACACTTGCATTCTCTTAATTTAATACTGAAATCGAAAGTTCAGGAACTAAAAAAACATTTACTTCTAATTTCGAATCAATGCTCATTTAAGCATCGACAGCAATAAACGGAGACCGGGGGAGATTTGCAAGGATTAATGTGCGCTTTCGCCCTAATTCCGCGCGTTACGGAAAATATAGAGGGCGATCCGCGGGCGGTGCTCAATAGTAATCGATTCGCCGCCGGTGCTTGCTTTTCGTGAGATAGAATTTGCTATGAGCCGCGGAGTAACGGGATGCGGCGCATCGCTAACGGATGGCAAAGCTCGGCCTCCGCGGATCTGTGGCCGCGTTGACAGGTGTCCCTGATACCGATCGCGACGCGATAAACGTCCCGACATGAGTCTTCACAGATAATATATCTATTTTATATATTTAAGAAACAAAGTATATCTATATATCATTTAAGACATTGTTTAACCTTCTTATTATATTTGACAACTGGCCGTATTAACGCCTTATATTTAAAAAAAGTAAATTCTAAGTATTGTCAGTGCGCTACTGAAGGATATAATTTTGGCGCCATTATCGGTTTTTGTCCGGTCGCAGTTATGATTTTGGTGAAAATCATTATTCCTTGATATGTAAAGTAATGCAAGATAATTGAATGAGATTAAATGAAAAGTACCTACGAGGCGTCAATTTAATTCCCTTTAGACCCTAAAAATCGTAAATGTAGGAAAATTTTTGTAGTACTTATTATGTAGCCTGCATAAACTGACCATACGTCCTACCGGATAGCTGTCCCTTTGTCCCGGAACAAATCTTCGGGAAGCAAAATTGTCCCGTTTTCCGAAACCGCGCGAAAACCACGCTGCGCTCGTCAAACATGATCATGAGCAGCGCGGAACCGCTGTGTTGACGATCGGTTATTCCCGGTTATTCTAGTAACGCGGTGGGGAGTTAAATAATTTTGTAGATGCCGTAACCCAAGTGTTCAGTTACAAACAAATTACCCATTTATTAGACAAATTAATACTTCTTCGGATGTTAGTTTAGAGTTTCTCATAGTGGTGCTGGTGATATTGAACAGCTCTAGTTCTGAAGGCGATGGTGATAACAAAGTTTAACATAAAAGAAACGTGCCAAATTATATTCTTATTTAAAATCGGCACCTTCTTTATTAAAACAAATTTGTTCCTCTGAGAAATAGAAATTATATTATATGATATTATATTTAAAAACATACGAATGTTTTTAGTAATAATAGTGTACTGATGATTTTTTCTTTGTATCTATTAATTTGTTATCTTTTCGGAATAAAGAAGATTAAAAAGTTATGTTCCATTTCATTGTAAACAAATGTCCCGTTTTGAGTTAAAAAAAAAAGTGGTCAGTTTACATGCACTAGGAGAGAGACATTTAGCAGAGTTAATTTAAATAGAAATTTGCAGAAAACTAGTGTTTATTTTTACTTAAATATATGTTATAAATTATTGTCTTTATTTTTACTTATATGTTATATAATATGTAAATATGTATATAAAATATTATAAATAAAGCATTAATGGTTTACTTTCACGCTGTCATTATCTAACACAATAGCATAATATGATAAAATAGCCGAACGGAGCATAGATTGTCACCAAAGTATTTCAAATGTCAGAGTGATT